CTAATGAAATAGTTTTTCCTAATATTCAACCTAGACCTCCCCCATTGCAACTTGAGACCATTGCTCCTCATTCTGTCATCTGTCACCACTGAGAACAGCCTCTCTCCATCCTCTTTGGAACCCCCTTCAGGTAACTAAAGGTTGCTATCAACCCACCCCTTCCCTTCTTTAGACTAATTAAGCCCAAATCCCTCAGCCTTTCCTCATTAAGTCATGTGCTCCAGCCTCCTAATAATTTTTGCTGCCCTCCACTGGACTTTCTGCCATGCATCCACATCCCTTCTGTAAAGCCCCCCACCCCCCCCCCCAAAGAATTGGACACAATACTCCAGATGCGGCCTCACTAGTGCCGAATAAAGGGGAATAATCACTTCCCTAGATCTGCTGGTAATGCTCCTCTTAATGCACCCTAATATGCCATTAGTTCTCTTGGCTACAGTGGCACACTGTTGACTCTCATCCAGCTTCTCATCCACTGTGATCGCCAAGCCTTTTCTGCTGAATTGCTGTGTGATGAATTCATCTCATTCAGATATGTAACTCCGAAAACTTCATGGTCACAAAAATATCAGCACTCAGTACAATGTGCAACTTTTGTTATTGCATAATTCATCCTTTTAACTGCCATAAGTGTTGAATGTGTAAGAGAATTCTTCTATAACTTAGTAATATAAACACTATTTTCAACACTGTCTGACTCCACAATCTTGTTTCTCTCATTGACAGCTGAAATTTACAAAGGAATACTTATATTTTAAAAAAAAGCTATATCTCTAACAGTTATGACTTGGACAAGAGTCTCCCCAACTCATCCAAATTTTAGAGAAGATTCCAAACTTATTTAAATTATGAGAACATATTACTAAATCTTGGGGCAAGTCTTCATGCCTGGCATCTGGGACATATTTTCAATTGCTGCTTTGCAGACTTCACTGTGAAACATCTGGTAGACTCAAATATTGTTAGTGGATGAATTTCTTTCCACCATCCTTTCTGGGAAGCCCATCAAAAAAGGTCAATATCTATGGTGAACAAAAACGTGTGTAGCATGCAGGTATATAATAGTAGTAGAGTGTTTTATGCACAGCAGAACAACTGATTAAAGTTTTAACAGTTTCTGTGCATCTTAAATATCTGCAACCTTGAGTGACTGGTTTGTGCTCAAAATCACTGGCATTTGTTGATACCCCTTACTACATGAAATAAAGAAGACCGCCACAGACTATCCACTCTTACTCCCTGGAAAGGCAACGTGGCTGCATTACGATGGGGGAATAGCACACAGCACTGCAGATATTCTGAATAGTACTGCTGCTTATAGAATGTTGGGAACACGCTGCCATAATTTAGACAGGGCAGGGGGCTAAGTTACGGTAATGGCACTTGAGCCCCAGAACAGGCCAGAATCAGGAGAGTATAAAAGTGGCTTGAAGCTACGTTAGCCCAGTACTGCCTTCAGGCTGCAAGTTCTCTTCTCCACCACTTAAAGGCACAACCCAGGCCTTGTCTACACTAATGCTTAAGTCAACATAAACTTTTATTCAGATATATGTAATTTGCATTGAATTATAGCCGTGTACACGGTGCTACATTCACAGGAGACGCTCACAGGTTGACAAAGCTTCTGTCTTTGTTAAAGTGGATTAATTACATTAACAGGAGCGCACTCTCCAGTTGACTTCCCACCTCTTCACCAGAACTGTTAAAATCAAAGTTGCTGTATCAACTGCAACAGAAGCACTAATTAAGTGCAATAGTGAAGACAAACCCTTAGAATCTGATCCTGGATGCATAAGAGGTGTTGCAACTTTTAGGCCCTGTCTACACTGGAAAGCTGTACTGTTTTAATTATTCCAGTATAGCTAAAGTGGTACAATTGTCCTAGTGTGAATACAGTGATGCCAGTATAAAGCATAGAAATAATCTGGAGAAGCAGGGAGGTATTTCCCCACTCTCTCCAACAGAAGTGAGGTATGGGGATGCACGAGGGGTCATATGTCATTGTCCCACTCCAGATTTCTGTGAATGCCAAGCTGGTCTGCTCACCCTGCTGCCCTTCCCATGCAGCATCCACCCCCTCCAGCATGTTTCCAGCAGCCGGGTCCCAGTGGGGAACAGAGAAGGCAGAATGGAACCACTTCTGCCAAGGATGGCCATTCTAGGTTCCTGCCTCTGCAGTTGGACACCATCTTCTGCCAGGTTCTACTGCCTGTTGTCATCATCCTCTATAGGCATTATTCATGAATATCATCCTGATTCCTATACAACAGGGAATACTTGTGGAGGAGACAGGGATAGGATAGGGGAAGAAGGGGTAGGATGGGGCTGAAGAGGTAATGAGGAAGAGGGAAGGGAAGGAGGAAGAGAAGGAGGTTGGGAATGTGGTGGGGGGAGGGGTAAGGAGTGGGGAGAAGAAAATAGAGGGGATGGCAAAGAGGGGGATAGGGAATATGTGGGAGGAGGGGAAGCCCAGCATGCAGTGACCCCTTTGCAGCAGGAAGTCCAGCAGAAAGGCGACTGCATCAACACCTGGAGGAACCACAGCAATGACATCACTGCAACAGCCAGTGCAGTAGTGTCTGTAACTCCTGCACACAGGTTGCTACAGAGGACAGCAAAATCAGGAGGTCTCCGATTAAGCCAACCTGTCCCCTCCTCCAGCACCGGCAGCCAGGTACCACTCCAGGCAGTGGGAGCGCTAACTCCTTTCCCCAGTATAGTCAAAGTACACCTATGGTATAAAGGAGTCTTATACCATCACAGTTATTGGAATATCTATACTGGTATAATTGCATCAACAATAGAGCTGGAACCAATATGACTGTATACTTTTTTAAAATCATATCTCTAGCTAACAGTTACACTCAACTTTCACGTGTACACCAGTTTTACTGAGTTGTGATGCTAGCTTCCTATTAAAATATCTATATAGTGACACCTAGAGCTCTATCCTGAGGTACTGCAGTTAACAATGCGCACAAATATTTATTCCACTTAATTATACCTTGTAGCTCTCTATGGCAAACTTTATTTGAAATAATATTGCTCAGTCACCCAGTTCATCTGATCATTTTGCAGTTCTTCATGCTCCTGCATAGATTTTACTAATTAGATAATTGTGTTGTTGCTCACAAATCTTGCCACTTTCCCATTTATCACTTTCTAGATTTACAAAAAAAGTTAACTTTCTGCATTAAGGATGTTAAGGACTAGTCAACTATCCGATAAGCAAATACTTATCTGATAGTCAAGTTGATTAGTTGATTCCTGCCCCTCCCCTTGCTGCCTCTATCAGACAGAGGCAGCAAAGAGGGAATATTTCAAAGCAGCAGCACCACATGAAGCCTGGGTTACAAGTGCCATGTGGCGCTGCTCCTTTGAAATGCTGTAGCGGCGCCTGGAATCAGCTGTGCAGTGCAGAGCCTGGAATCAGCTGTGCAGTGCTGCCCCTTTGAAATACCGTGGCATTTCAAAGGAGGAATGCAGCAGTGCCTATCAACTAGTCGAATAGTTGATGGAAAGACCATCGACTACTCGACTAGTAAATTAATCGATATTTAATATCTTTACTCTGCATATCCTTCCTGCGGCTCCCCTTGGCTGCAAATGGTGGAACTGCATCCATTGGGAACCGTGAGCTCCGTGGTCGCGGAGCCGGTAAGTAAACAAACTGGAGAGGCCAGTAGCAGCTCCCTCTGAGTGGGTCTGAGGACCACTTTGAGGAACACTGAATTACTACATTTCCAAATAGATTCTTTAAGAACTTTTTGGGGGTAAAATATAAATTATATTCACTGGCAGATAGCAACACTAGTAATGTCCAACCAACCATGCAATCTATTGATATATTATAATACACACAATTAAATTCAATAAAAACACTGCTGATTTTGATGTTTTTGAAGGCAAGACGATATGAATGAATATTGGATATTTTACTGAATCTGCCAATCTGTGTTTTACAGTTTTTATGTCAATCTTTCTCCCTGAATACTAAAAACTAAGTTTGGCCAAGGAAACAAAGATTGAGCAGATAATACTATCCTTGGGAATCTTGAAGGTGAGATTAGTGTTATGCACAACTGCTATTCTTTATGTCCTGTATTGAATTTTTTTTTTTTAAATCAACACACATTCATATGAATGACTTATTCTGGCTTTAAAAGGAATATAGCCAGGACCCTAGGAATTTCACAATTCTGGGGCCAGCGGCGCCACCTCTTGCCCATTCCTTTGCCATGGAATACAAACTTTTTCATTCCTAGCTAACTGAAAACATGTATAGATTCAGTGAAAATGAATCCAATGTAGTTTTTCTGAGTCTGCATATTATGTAAACAGTAGCTGTGAGAGCTGTGAACTGTTCCATTCATTTCAATTATTTTTTAAAAAAAACCTGAAATTGAGCAGCTACTATTTAATTGTTAAGTTATTTCAGGCCTTGTCTACACCTACCACTGCAGAGATCGATCCCCAAGGAGTCAAGTTAGCAAGTCTAATAAAGACCTGCTAAATCAACTGCTGATGACACTCTCACTGACTCTGATTCTCCACCGGAGTGAGAAAAGTAAGGGGAGTCGACAGGAAAGTTTCTCCCATCCACTCCCTGCAGTGGATGCAGGGAGATAAGATAGGTTGAGTCCAGCTATGCTATTCACGTTGATGAAGTTGTGTACCTTCTTCTTTTCCAAATACTGTATGCATATGTAAATGATCTGTTGATAACTGGGGAAATACTAGAAGAATGTTTTAAATTAGCTGACTAGCTTTAAAAAAGTAACATAATAGACATTTCCTTTAAGCACAGACATTTCTGGATAATTTAGTTTTTGCTGGACACAGTCAATAAGCAGTCAAAATGATGAAATCAAATATTCTTCCAATTTCACTTTAATTTATACAATTTAGTAAATCTCAATACAAACTCCCATCTTACCCTAAATTACAGAGTTTTCAAAGTAGGCAAGATATGTTTATTGTGGAAGTAAGAAAAAACTTACCTTTACATCCCTGTGAATTATGTTATTATCATGACAGTAACGTAGAGCTTCCAGTATCTGTCTCATGTAATGACTGTAAAAACAAAATATGTCTAAGACCACATAACACATTTGCAAAAAAATACTATATAAACATAGTGCATTACACGTTTGAAGCCTCCCACCTACAAAACTGTCATTACAAAAATTATATTTAAAATACACAATTGTAAATAAACCAAGTGTCAGAGTGGGGGTTATGTATTCTGAACAATTAATAATAAAATGTTTCTAATAATTCAGAGGTATTTTGAACATTAATATATATTTTCCCTAGGAAAACACCCACCCACACATTTAAAAATGTAATTCATAATAAAGTAGGCTTATGAAGACAAAATAGGATACAATATTACTATTAAAGTTCACTTTTTCCTAATATTCAATTATTTCTACTTATTCAATAAAGAAACAGAATCATTGGTACACAATGAACACAGTGTACAGTAATGCATGCAAATCAAATAAATAAACAAAAGATCAAAATACTGTGTAAAGGACAACAGTTAAGGTAGAGAGGAAAAGTGAAAATCAACTAGTCAGGTAAAGGATCATTCAGTCATTTACAACAAATACATTGTGTGTGAAATACTCTTGTGCAGACAATACATATAAAAACGAACTGCCAAACCCAGGAATAAATTCAATAGATACTATATTTACTTAACTATAACCTCAAGCAGAATTCATTTCAGGAGGAAGGACTGTATTTTAAACATGAAATCTAGATGCAATGTCACATTTTTATCCCTATGTAAAAAAAAAAAAAATGCTAGTAATAGGGCAACAGGAATTCTGTAGAAATTTATGAAATTCCACAGATCTTTTTAGAAAATGTGCATGGGAATACATGTGGGGAAACTGCAAAATATTTCTGAACAGCACATTCTCTCTGTCTCAACTCATAATAGCTCTTTCACTGGTACACTGGAATGACAAAATAAATCTCAAATTTTCAAATACAATTCAGTTAATTTTGGGGTCTCCAATATCCACAGGGTGCTAAGCATTCATTAATTCAATAGATATCAGCAGATTGTCAGCATATCTGAAAATCAAATGCCACATATCTTCGTTTGGGAATCCAAAAATGAAGGCACCCAAGATGCCTTTAAATTTTGGTCCTAGGTTTTTACTCTACCTCTCCCTTCACTCAATTACTTCACAATACAGGCAGTCCCCGACTTACGCGGATCCGACTTACGTCGGATCCGCACTTACGAACGGAGCTTTCTCGCCCCGGAAGTCGGGGCGAGAAAGCCCCGTTCGTAAGCTGCTCCGGTGCCCCTGGTCTGCTGGAGACCGTCTCCAGCAGACCAGGGGCACCGGAGCAGCTTACGAACGGGGCTTTCTCGCCCCGACTTCCGGGGCGAGAAAGCTCCGTTCGTAAGTGCGGATCCGACGTAAGTCGGATCCGCGTAAGTCGGGGACTGCCTGTATATCATGTTAACATGATGAAGCCATACTGGGACAGGGAGAACTTGGTGCTGGCCGTGTGTAAGCCCTGGGAGGAGCAGGGGGAGGATCCCCTGGTGGGCCTGTTCCCTGGGACCGGAGAGGACTCTTCGCTGGAGTCAATTTCCCTCTCGGACCAGCTCACCCCGGCCCAGCAGGCCGAGATCCGGGAGGTGCTGCGCTCCCACCAGCAGCTGTTCTCCAACAAGCCGGGTCTCACCAACCTGGCTGTCCACCGGGTGCAGACGGGCACTCATCCCCCGGTGCGCTGCGCCCCATTCAGGGTCACAGGGAAAACAGCCCAGGACCTGGAGAGAGAGGTCCAGGACATGTTGGCCCTGGGGGTGATCCAGCCATCCTCCAGCCCCTGGGCCTCTCCCGTGGTGCTGGTTCCCAAGAAGGACGGGTCGATCCGGTTCTGCGTGGACTACCGGAAGCTCAACGCCATCACGGTGTCCGACGCCTACGCTGCGCCCCATTCAGGGTCACAGGGAAAACAGCCCAGGACCTGGAGAGAGAGGTCCAGGACATGTTGGCCCTGGGGGTGATCCAGCCATCCTCCAGCCCCTGGGCCTCTCCCGTGGTGCTGGTTCCCAAGAAGGACGGGTCGATCCGGTTCTGCGTGGACTACCGGAAGCTCAACGCCATCACGGTGTCCGACGCCTACCCGATGCCAAGGCCCGACGAGCTCCTGGACAAGCTGGGGGGAGCTCGCTATCTCACCACCCTGGACCTCACCAAGGGCTACTGGCAGGTGCCGCTAGACCAGGAGGCCA